GGGATAAGTTATCCAAAACCACCCTGCTTTTTACACCGTTATGCCTATATCCCAAAAAACCCAGTTCTTCCCTATTAAGCCTAGAGTCTTTACTTATATAAGAAAGGGCTTTAGTATCGATTTCTTATACCGCGATAACCTTTTAGACGATATAGACGCGTAGATTATAGACGTTTATTATCCATAGACCTTTTATATTCTACACGTCTATAATCAAATAGAATAGGATTCCGAAATAACAGGCCGAGGGCGGCCCCCTAGCCCTACTCCTTCTACCTCTCCTACCCCTTCCACTTCTTCTCCTTCTTTCCCCTCCTTTTTAGGCCCTAGAAGCCGGCCCTAGATTAAGGATCGATTGCTTTAGGACCTATAGGTCCCTAGACCTGCCCTTATTATAGGGGACTTTGATAGAACCCACTAGTAGTAGAACGGAGCTACTACTAACCAGGCTTCTATTAAGGCCTAGACCCTAGTAGGCTAGTTAGATAGCCTCGGAGCTACCTATTTAGTGGATTCTAAAGACGTTAACCTAAACAGGGGGACCTTTTTTAGGTCTAATCTTCATTAAGAGTCGGTTATAGACCTAGCCTTTTACATACCCGGCTTTAATCGTCTCCGCTTTAATAAGTGGGAATATGTCGAAAACACTACCTCCCTGCACTGTGCTATCCTACTTTCCGCCTCTATTTTAGGCTTTAAAGGTCCTATAAATAAGTCACTTCTACTGGCTTATAACTATAAGCTAGCAGATTAGGACCTGTTTTCTAGTACCGTAAAGGGCCTAGAACCTAGCCTTAACCGGCAGCTTCAATAGGCTATCGTAGCCTCGGACTAGGACTCTATAGGTCGCTGTCTCTCGGATACTATTACCTTAGCAATTAAGGCTTTAGTGTCTAAGGTAAAGGTAGTAGAGCGTTCGAAACCGTGGTGGTGTAAAGAGCTAAAGGCCCTACGGAAGTTAGCGAATAGGGCTTTTAGGGTTTTTAGAAAGGCTAAAAAGGGGGCCTCGGTTACCTAGCTAGCGTCTTTAGAAAGCACCTGGAAAGAAGCTCGGAACGCCTATCATAGGGCGGTAACAATAGCAAAAAACGACTACTAGGAGATTTTCCTAGCCCACGCCGAATGCCCCGAGACTTTTAAGGCCTATAACTATATAAAGAGCGGCCTTAACGCGAAAATCCTACTAATTCTAACGCCTACGAAATAGAAGGCCTACGCCTTCGAAGATAAATATAATACCCTACTTTAGACCCTTTTTCTAATACCCTCCGCTACCGCCACCGACGCCCTCAAAGCCCCTGTATTTATAGGCCCTTCGGGGGGCCTAGGCCCCTCTTACCCTTCTAACGGCCTCTAGAGCCTGACTAGAGCACGTAGTAAGGACCTTAGAAGACCGTGGGAGTGGCTAGGCCTCTAGGCTGCCGAACTATAACGCTCTATTTTTGGTGCTGCTAAGGGGAAAGCCCTAGGGCCTGATAGGATAAGTCTAAAGCCGATCTAGCAGGCCTATAAGGTTATCCCCGGGGCCTTTTTAAAGGCTTATATAGCACTGTTTTTAGTAGGCCATTACCCTACCGGCTAGAGAGAAGCCCTAGGGGTCGTTTTACTAAAGCCGGGAAAGAAGGACTATTCTAATCCTAACTCTTTTAGGATTATAGCCCTTCTAAACTGCCTAGGTGAAGTCCTTAAGCGGGTTATAGCTACTAGGCTTAGCTTTATAGCTAATACCCGCGACGACCTTCTACACCCTAGTTAAATAGGGGGTAGGAAATAACGCTCTGCTATCGATATAGCCCTTCTCCTCCTCCACTATATCAAAAAATAGCGTAAATCACGCTAAAAATCCTATAACTTCTACGCTGTTTTTAGATATTAAAGGAGCCTTCGATTACGTTGTCCATCCCTAGCTACTCAGGACCCTATAGGAACTCTAACTACCCCCGAACCTAGTTAAATAAGTAGCCTCTTTTACAGAAAACAGGCGAATCTAAATAGCCTTCGAGGGTTAGGTTTAGCAGCCTACCCCCCTAAATATATGGGTTCTATAAAGCTCCCCGGTTTCCCCTATCTTTTTCCTGATTTATATTAGAAAGGTTATAGCGGGACCGGATTTTTAGGGTCTTTAGCTATCCTATATTAACGACTTTTAGCTATCTATAGCGTCTATATTAACTAGGAAAAACTATAAAACCCTAGAAAAAGCCGTACCCTCTCTTTTCGACGCAGCAAAAGTTAACCAAGTCCTCTTCGACCCTAAAAAACGGAGCTTATTCACTTCTATCGAAGACGCTCTAAAGAAGATACTCCGGTTATTATAGGGGGCATCTACTTAAACCCGCGCTAGGTGCTATTAGGTGGCTAGGGGTCTGGTTTAATCCTAAGCTATCCTTTAAACTCCACGTCGAAAAACGCCTAAACTCAATTTTAGGGGCCCTAAACAGACTATATAGACTAGCTAGTTCGTAGAAGGGCCTTTCCTTTAAGGTTCTACGATAGCTATATATAGCCTATATAGCCTCCTTAGCTGATTTTGGCTCGTAGCTCTAGTAGGACCCTAAATCACTAAAAAAAACACCTAGTAGACCGCCTAGAACGCCTATAGTACGGCGCTTTAGTTAGGGCCTTAGGGGCTTTTAGGGAGGCCCCCTTAAGGCCATTAGAACTCGAAGCAGCAGTTCCCCTAGCAGCGGTTCGGTTAACTAGGTCAAATAGACTATATGCCTTTAGAACCTTAAAGATCCTTCCGAACCACTCTACTAAACGCTAGCTCTTCGCTAGCGTTCAAAGGGGGCCAGGGCACGAAAACCAAGAAAACCTCGCCCTTCTTCAAAACCTATAGCCTACTATATAGCTTTATAGGCTAGGCCTAGAAATAGTGGCTTTAGTAGGTTAGTCTTAGAATATCGAGGGTCCTTCGGCTACGTAGGAGGCCCCCTAGGCCTCGGAACCTATAGCGGACCTAAGACCCTTTTTTCCTCTTAAAGACCGGCCTAAAATGGGTACCGGCCCCGGTACCCCCGATCAGAAATTAGCCTACCTCGAAGCCCTCGCTAAAATACAATAAGGCCTAAGGGACTAGGCTGCTATTTTCTATACCGACAGCTCTCTAGGCCACCCTACCAGGCCCTCTACAGGGCCTTCGTAGGCTACAGCGGCTATAATACAGTGGACTAGTACTAGAAGGCCGCCTAACCCTAACCTAACCCTAACCCTAAGATAACCTAACCCTAACCGGAGCCGTTGAGAGAGTGCCGGAGCACCCCGCCGGTCGGCTCGTAGTCTTTTAGACTCTTCGCCTTCCCTCATATACCCCCAGCCCTGTTTTTGGTGTGTACCCCGCTGCAGTCGGTTCGCGTTGAACCCCTATAAAGCTATAGGCTTTAACCTAGGGGCCGCTACCGAAGTCGCGGACGCTGAATTATATGCTATTCTTTACGCCGTTCACGCTACCCTTAAGTAGACGCTTAGGCCCTTAGAGTGCTATATTTGTAGCGATTTATAGGCGGCTATTCTAAAGCTTTAGCGCCTTTTATAGTGGGCTATAAAAGCTAAATCCCTTATCTCTCGCCTTAAATAGCTAGGCACCTCGGTTTCTGTTTAGTAGTGCCCCTCGCACGTACGGATAAAAGGGGACGAACTAGCGGATAAGGTGGCTAAAGGGGCGTTAAACCCCGAAAAAGCTACTAAATCTATTAGCTTAGTTACCCTTAGCCACCTAAAACGCCGGGTAAATAAAGAAAGCCCTTATTTAAGACTAGAAAACCCTGTAGAATCACGAAGAGGAGGAGGAGAAAAGAGGTAAATCGGTTCGATTAGGCCGCCTATATAGCGACTAGTCCGCGATAACCTCCGTTTCTCCCGAAAACCACTACTAATATAAGGCCTTAGGTAGGTAAAATCGGCTTTTACGCAGTTAAAAACCGGCTTCGGATACCTGAAAACCCACTAAAAAAGGGCCTAAAACTACGCTGACGACCGCTATTCCTGTCCCGGCTCCCCTATATAAGATATAGCACACCTTATCCTATCCTGCCCTTTTTATAAAGAAGAACGAAAAGCCCTACGGGAAGCCCTAGTAGGCCTACCGCTATCTCTACCGCTATTATTTAGTACTAAAAGAGGAATACAGGCCTTATAGGCCTATCTTTTAGCTACTAAAATAGCCTCGGCAGAGTGGTATAGGGCGTAAACCACGATTCTTGCGGTCTAGATATTTTGCTTTGCTTTTTACTTATTAGGTTTTATTAGGCAGATTATTACAGAGGATTTCCTTTATTTAGTACGCTCTATTTTACTATACCTACCTTCTAATAGCCTTTAGCCCTTAGGGCGATAGGCGCCGCGCCATAGCTTTAGGGCTGTATACGCGTAATGAATCAAAAAAAAAAGATCCCTTTTATAAGGAGGTTTTTGTACTAACTATTATTTTTATAATAGAAAAGTTAAGAGATATTAGTTTAAACTAAAGCCTCTAATTAGTTAGTTAAATAGAAGGACCCACCTTAAATAAGGGGGTATATCGTATAGGTGCACGGACTATAATAGGGTCCTTAGAAGATATATACCTAAATAAGGGTTTTAGACCTTGGGGATTAGTATATAATGGGAGTAGATACTGGACTAGATAGGATCTAAATAATATAGTACCTATAAATAGAGTCTATACTACCTAAATTAAGCGTATACAAGACTTATATAGATATATAACTTAGTATAATATATATATAAGATTTCTGCTTTATTAGGATTACCGTATAAGTGCTATTTAATATACGATAAGACTATAGTCGGAATATCTAGCCTTAAAAGAAAAGGCAGAGGAATATAAACAAATAAGGAGGCGGGAAAACTATAATAATAACAAAGTAGAATAAAAGGAAAAAGAACAGGACTACCCTGTTGGCCCTATAGCCCTAGAGCTTAAGATTCGACTTCTTATAGTAACTCTAGTAGCGCCTTCTCTTTATTATCCTAATCACGGAGTTACTATTATAGTAAGTGCCTCTACTTATAAAGCTAAAAAACAAATAGAATAAAATAATATAAAGCCAGTAGTACTAGTATATACTAAATGTAAGACTTCTATTACGACGACTCCCGATCCACCAGTCTTACATCAGGCTCAGATTTCGCTAGTCCGATAGGCGTCTAGTACTCTCCTCATTCACGTGTTCATATTACTAGCCAAAGTGTGTATATGGCTGGGTAGTTGATTCCAGCTCATGTTCTTCAAGTGCCGCGAGTCTCGTACCACGATCGTATTGTGATCGCCTACGACGCTGCTGATCACGAAAATGTTGGCTAGCGTTTGGAGTGAAGAGTCCTGTCTAATTAAGCCTGGCACTCTGCTAGTCTTGTCAGCTTAGTACTCACCGACGTGTTCCGCGTTCTCGCAGCTTCGTTTCATCTTAGATTGATTGTCCGGCGAGGGAAATGGCTCCTCCTGTCCCGCTAAACGGGGCATTGGTCCATTCGAAGTGTAGAACAGCTGGAATCGTTAGACGGCCGCATAGGACGTTTTTGTTAGCACCTAGAAAGCGTCACTGACCTTGGGCCGATAATGAGCTGGCTCGAGCATAACAGAGCTGTTACGAAACTTTTGCACGAGACAATCCTTGCCTTGGATGGCTTGTCATTCTGTCAGCAGAGACCTTGGACGGCGGGGTAAGGGGTAAGGTATTAGGATGACCGACTGGCGTAGGATATTTCGGCGACCTTGTCGCTTTTAAAGCAATTCCAACGTTGGTTGCCGCGCGTTCTCACAAACTGATACCAAACATTCATTACCATCAGGCTCATCAGTACCACGGAAAGGTCTTGTGCAGGTTAACCAACGTCAATTATATCGAGCGGCTAGCACCTGTTAGCAAGACTGCAACCATGAGGGGGCGGAGCCGACTCACATCAACGAAGTTGATGAAGGCGTATCCAACGCTAGGGGCGACAACTCGTCAGGGTACAAAAATCAATATAAGACTCAACGTGCATGACCCACTTGCAGTCGTTCGCGAAGTCGATGCGTAGATACATGAAGTCGTATTTACCCCAACTAGACTCATCCACGATGCGCTTCAGCATGGCTTGGTCCACTTTATTGGGAATGTTGCGGAGCATGATCTAGCCACCCGTCAAAAGAAGTCCCCCACTTTTATTTTTTAAAAAAAAAGTGTGGTGGGGGGGGGGGGGTGGGGGGGGGGGGGGGGGCGGAACTGGGCGCGGGCTTTACCGTTGTGCGGACATCTGTCCCTTCACAAATCTTATTGATGTCGACATGGTTGTGGTGACTGGGTGCGTTGCGGAACTGGGCCCTGCTGACCCTGAGAGCACTTTGCGGGCCAGCATCCGTGCTAGTGCACCCCAGGATATGCCGTAGTTGGCTGTGTCTCTTCCTTTGCGGCATGGTCGACGCATGTGGTATATGAGACGCCGGAGGAGTGCGGTTACTGTGTGGGAACAGAGGAACTCCGGAAACTGGATGGCCATCACCGAGACTATACGGAAGACTCGGCCGATAAAAAGACTGCCCAAATACGGGCCACGCGCCCCAAGGAGGCTGGGGCTGAGGTCCAGAGGGAGAATATAGTGGACCCGAGGCTGGAAGGAAGTTGCGGTGGTCCACCGGAGGAGTGCCCTGCACGGACGTCGACAACGAAAGACGTGGATACTCAAATGGCAAGTCAAGACCCGGGACACGTAGAGAAGAGGTCCCGGGATGGCCGTTGTGGACCTCCCTGGAAGACATGAGACCATCACTCTGGACTACCGCCAGGTGCAGAACAATTCCCTGTGCCGGTCTGTGGGTCAACATGCCTGTTGTTGGCCTCGGGGCGTTGTGATGGCATTCCGACTCACCTGGACGGTGCGGCCATTGAGCGCGGCTACCGCTGCTGTGCCAGCGCCGGTTGTCAAGAATTCGGCAACGCCTGCATGCATACCGGGTCCACCATCATCCATGAGCCGCCGGTAAGCCGAGAAACTTCCCTGAGATCGAAGAATATCCTGAATAGTGAGTTCGGCATACCGCGGGTCTGAGAAAGAAGGCGGTGCTGTTAAAGCGAGAATTGCTACTTGGCATTTCGGAAATATTCCACCGCCGGATGTCATGTCCTGCAGGCGAATTAACGATAAGACTTAAGAGGACCCTCTGTTCTTGATGTATCGCCGTGGAACGGGAGAGCGAGCGGCTTGTGGAGGAGGGAAAGAGCGATACAAAGGGGAGTCTGCGTACCTTCCGCCACTCGGACTCAGAAAGGTATGACGCCTCGCACTTGACAGCGGCGCGAGAAACATGATCATGGACCGCGACAGCGCTCTGCACGTCGGCAAAGTGTACATAGATTTGACCGCCCTTGTCGATGACGAGTCTCGGAGCAGGGATCAAAATTCCGAGCTGCTCTAGTTTCTGATGTACGTCAGTCAAGCAATGGGAGCGTGTAGCATATAGTAGATTGAATAATTTGGGTGAATAGGACGTACCAAAAGAAACGCAACAGCATCAATTGGCAGTAGCTGCCGGTAGGGAGAAGATAAGACGAGACAGCGAGTTTGGACATGGTCATCATAATTGACGGCATCTGTATGGGACATCGACAAGCTCGCACTAGACGAGTAGTCGGTATTGTTAGGCGGCACCGGACGGGGGTGGAAGCTGGAAGCAGTCGGGGACAGCTGGGACGCGGCACTAGCCGTCTGGCTTGTAGTTATGAAAGGGTCCCTATCGGTGAGCAGCTGAGGGCTTTCAGTGACGTCGTCGCAGAATCTAACTGGGGCGGTGCTTGGAGGAATAAGGCCACAGGAGTGGGCATAACGGGTCGATTTGGTCGAGAGTACACGGGGGGAGAACACCGTGAGTCTCGTGTCTGGCGTGCCTTTGAAAGACTCGGCCCCGGCGCTTGAAGAGTGCGGTGAGGAAAGGTTGAAGCTTGACTGTTGTGTCCGTGCCATGATGCTGTACGAGGACTCTCAATATCCTCAGAGACGCACCTAAATCGGGTGCAAACTGGAGAAGACTAATTGGTTAGAAGGTCCCGAGACTCACTGGGAATCATCTCTCTTCTCGACGGATGTGAGGATTTGGATATTGGCAGTAAATGGCTGAACCCATAGCGGCATGCCGAAGCACTTACAACGATAGATGTTGGCCAACAAGAAAATCAACATCAACCATGCAGAAAATGTATTGGAGTGCACCGATATATCCCAAGGCCGAGCTACCCGTCGTAGATGGGCGCAGGTGAAATCGTTAACGGGGCTTCGGGGTTGAAGGGGAGAAAAAATGGACGTAGGTGCAACAAGGTCAGTCATGGGAACAAGCGCCCAGGTAAGTACTACCTTCGAGATGTAGGCCTATGAGGGTTCCTGACAACTGGTTGTTTTGAGAAGGAGTGAGGGCCGTTCCCACCTTCCCTGCATTATACTCGCCTTGCCACCCCGAGCACCTACCTAGGTACACATCGGACAAGGGTCACCGCCGTACCTGCTGCCACCCCGAGTACCTACTTGTGACCGTTTCTGCCTCCGAGCACCAGGAAATCGGATGAGGCGGCCGTTGAACTTGGCAGGCAACGCAAGGTACCTAGGCAGTGAGCGTGGCGCGGATTGTGTACATCATACCATCACGTACTCGTCCAAACTCGTCGCGTCGTGTAGGGCTTTAATGATGTCGACACCCTGTTCTGCAGGTGATCTCGATGCATGGCACACAGCAAGGACTTTCTCGTCGCCTGCAGAGCGTATAGTGCAGCGGGCAGTTGAAGAAAGAGCCAGGTACCCTCTCTCAGATTTCGATACTGGCTGTCTCCTCCGCCCCCCTGAATCATCTCCCTCTTTTTCCTTCCTAGTTGCCTGGCTAGGTATCCTCCCATTTCCTGCTGGAGTAAACTGAGGTTCTACACCTGTGAAGTGGAACGGCACCCAAAACACACTCGGGGTAATGAATGCAGCGACGAGGGCGGGGCTGAAAAGGGCTCAGGGGCATTGTCAGTTCGTGAATATTGCACCCAGAGGGTAATGTAGCTCCAGGAGTCTTTGTTGGCGTCACTGCCCTAAGGATGCCGATAAATGCCGTGAAGGGGGGCCCGTCTCTCACATTGAGTAGTCAGCATTTGAGGAGGACAGGTGAGGGTACGGCTCCTTTCAACTCCGGCAAGGCCCCGTGTATCTAGCCTGAAGTAGAGCCCAGGTGGAAGTGTAATTGCCAATTCAGTAGACTCGGCCGCCACCATGCCAGTTCAATATGATTTCCTGACAAGACCTGGGGAGTGATCTCGCTGTGTAGGAATACCTGTAGGAAATATCAGCCAGGCAGGAAAGAACTCGATGCGCGGAGAGTGTATATTAGGACGGGGAACCTACGATCATGGCCATCTTGGGCACGTCATACGCGCGATTGGAATACGAAAGTGCATCGTTGGAATATTTCCATCCACCCACACGCAAAGAATTTTCTGTTAGTATATGGACCGTGATTACTCCATATTTGGCGCCTGAAATGGCCTTAATTTAGGGAATGCTTCATCGTTATGTTAAGTTTTGATATAAGCCTTGCTGGGGAGGCCTCGCGTTTGACTTGTAAACGTGCAACGCACAACTGTGTCGGCCCTGCACAGCCGTGGTCTGATAACTGGTCCTGTGGGGAGTCGTTGTGTAAAAACGGTGGACTCTTCGGGCATAGGTATATTAAACGAACGGTGTTTGTAAAGGGAAACCGTTCTGCTTAAGTACTATGGCCTCTCTCGCCTAGACTAGCTATTTACCTAGCTCTTTAATTAACACGATTCCTTACGTAATTCTACTAGGTTGATCTTATATTTTTATACAGTAGTAACTAGTGTTCCTGCTATTCTTTTTAAATTAAAGCTCTAGATAGCTTCTCAATTAAACCGCCACCTAGCTCACAAAGAGCTTAGTACTATAGCAATACGCCCTCTTACCCTCCTATTAATAACCTAGCTAATAGTACGCTTACCTAGACGTCGTGGAAGCTATTACTAACAGCTCGCCTATCTAGGTTTAAAGCTATCGCTAAACTATTATCGATTTAATAACCTACGGCTTATTAAGCCCCCTTATAAGCCTATCCTACCCTCCTCTTTACCTTCTCCGCCACCTCTTTTAGACCCCTTTATCTATACCCCCTCTTTCTTATCGGAATAGCTACCTCTAACATCTACATCTATAGCGGCCCCCTTCTTACCGGTCGATCTAACTACGTTATTTAGGTTATTAAGGCTTAATAACACGCTAAAAACCTTAACCTCTAGCACTTTATCTAGGGCTAGGGTCGAATCGAGAACAAGGCTCCTACCCTCGAAGACTATTATATCTATAAGCCTAAAGCACTTAAATCGGAGTTAGCCGAGCCTGGCCCTTTTACTACTACCTCTCCCGAACCTATACCTAACCTATACGCCTCGTAAAAGAACTAGAAGAACCGATTACTATACTCTCAGGTTAATTATACTAAACGCAATAAAGCATACCTTTTCCTTCTATTAACCTTAGATCGAGCCGTTAAGTGGGAGATTAAGGGTATAGAGCAGCCGTAGAAAATCTCGAAACGCCTTAATAAATAAAAGCCGTCTAATATCAAGATCTAGATCTTTACTAGTAAGTAAGCCTCCGAACTAAAGCTATAGTCCTTTAAGTCTATAGGTTAGTATCTTTCTAAGTACGTAGACCTTTATAATATCCTCTTATTAGCAGGAGGCTAGTATCCTAATAAGCTTATAGCCGCTAATATTATCAACGGCCTCCCTAGAACCTACCGATCCTATAAAGATAACTAGCGCTTTTATAGAAAGAAGGATAAGAAAAAGGCCCACGATATCTCTATTATAACCGATAAGCTTCTGGAATAGGAATAAGAGATGCTAAAATAGAGCCGTAATAATAATAATAATAGTAATAACCGCCGCGGCTCTCGTTAAGGGAACTCTAATAATAATAACACTAATAATGGTAAATAAGGTAGCGGATCTAATAAATAGTCTAATACTACCTAAAATAACCACGAGCCTTATACGACCCCGAGTTGCCCTAGACCTAAGACGCATAAACGGAGGATTACGGATCGCCCAGAGGCCCTAGGCATAATCTCTAAGAAAAAGGTTATGGCCGCGGAGGCTATAGCCATAGAGGCTACGGCCGTGGAGACTATAGCCGAAATAATAATAACGGCGGCGATAACCGTAATTACGGCAGAGGTAATAATAGCAGTAATAACCGTAATAATAATAACTATACCTATAACGCTAATACCAATAAGAGGGCTAATAACGCCCTTAATAGCCTCGAGGCTTACCTAGGTAATAATAATAGCGTTTTCACTAGCCGCGCCTGCCTATAAGCACTGGTATAACTTAAAGATCTATATTAAGACTACCTCTCAGGCACCCCTTTTATAGATATAGAAGATCTAATAATTTACCCCTTCTACCCCGTGCCTAAGGCCCCCGTCTAAACTATTACCGATACTTATAATAGCCTAATTAACGGGCGGAGGGCGACTAATAGTAAACCTCACGGCGAGGTCCCTGCCCATTATGCCTATACTGGCACCGATACTGCCACAGAAGAACCCAAGATCGTCGACGCTATAAAAGAACCTAAGATCGTCGATACTATAGAGGAACCTGAGATCGTCGGCACCGTAATATCGACTGATAGTAAACCTTATAACGGTGCCCCTGTAACCCTCGTAGAACACGTCTTCTAAGGTAATAGGAAGCACGTTTATAACTACTAGCGATAGGATTCGGGCGCCTTATTATATTCTATCAGCGATTTTAAATCCTATTAAAGTATAACCTAAGCTTACTATGTAGAAGAATACTAGAACTATACTATAACTATATAACCTATACATTTAGTAATACACGCACTCGGGAACCTCCTCGTTCGGCGACCTAATAAGGCTATAGGGGCACTAGGACCTATAAGAGGCCTAAGCATTTAATAGTTCCGGGGAATCTAAGTGAAGGCCTAAGTGTGTAGTAGCTTAGGGGAGCCTGTAGGACCTCTAGGACCTATAAAGGGCCTAAGCGTTCGGTAGTTCCGGGGAACCTATAGAAGACCCAAGCGAAGGCCTAAGCGTGTAGTAGCTTAGGGGAGCCTGCAGGGCCCTAGGACCTCTAAGGGGCCTAAGCTTTATACAAGACTTTATATCTTTTATCTCTAAGGTATCTAGGAAACGTGGGTCCACTAGGATTATATATATAGCTCGATGTCCCTTTTTTACAGATAATGTTCTTCCCTCCTTTATCACCTCTTCTATAGAAGAATAGCAGACCTTTCGCTATAATTGAACCACTTTACCTCTTCTTTATTTTTCCTCTTTTCCGCTTCCAAGTAACCATTATCAACAAATCCTATATTAACTATAGAGAAATCCCCGAATAATACTAGTTCTAGATTATCACTACGAACGGTATTATTAAGCCTACCTATAAGGACCTAATAGCAAAGAGAAGATCGTGATCCTGTAAAGAACGGTTCGTATCCCTGGCCTCTATATTAATATAATATTAGGGGAGATAATATACGTAGGGGGAGGTTATTTAGACCGTAATATTCTGTATAATAAGGCAGGCGAGGGTATCGCCACTATTAACGTAGGCACTCGCGGCCTTTTCCTTAGCCACCCTGGCGACCCTGTAGCCGTCTTCTATATCGTACCTAATTCGGTTATAGCCACCCTTCTGCCCTTAATAACGAAAGAGCCTAACGATTAGTAACCTAATAACGCGGCGGCCTTATAGCTATAGGCACGCCTTTAGTATTAACGCCTCAGATATATTAATTATAGGGACCTCCGTAAAACCGTTAAGATCACGAAGAATACCCTAGAAGCTGCTAAAATCTGCGGCTAGCCTTATATAGTTTATAACCTCTTCTAGAGCCTTAGATATAGTCTTAAGGACCCTCGCCCCCGCACTACCCGTGTAGGGGAGCTATAGTATATTAATATCTTCGATATTAAACTAATCTTACTATCTACCGATAAATATAGCCTTAGTATAACGGATAAAGGGCCTTCTAACTTTTAAGACTAAAGGGGACCTCGCCGCCTACTCCTTAATGCCCTGACCTCGTATAGTAACCGCTAGGGATAACCTATAAGGTATATATATACTAATAATGCGGGAGAGTTCCTTAGTAATGGTCTTCGCTATAACCCTTAAGCCTAGGGCACCTCTTTTTTTTAAGTAGCCCTCCCTTCGGTTACGAATCGAACGGC